TAGGTTAGTAATGAGAATTAAATCCGTATTCTTCGAAAATCCTATTAAGCCAAATTTCGGATTTGTCAGATTTATAAATTATGAAATTATTATTATTATTATTATCTGAATATTGAGTTTGATATTTTTGAAGTCTGTACACTAATCAAAAATTCAATTTATAACAAAATTAGTGTAGTCATCAAAACTTTCATTGCAAGTCATAAAAACATTTATTAATTCTAGTTAAATTTTTGAAATTTGAAAACCGAATTTATATTAAATTCTAAAGATTCTGGATTTTTTAAATTTGGAATGACCAGATTTTGTCTATCTCTAATTTAGTTAAATGTATATTATGACGTATAAGAAATATATCATGCGTTACCCAAGTAATTATGTGCTATCGAAAAGTTGATTTCGTCAACTTTTCAAGGTGTGTTTTTTTATACACTGATTGCAATAGATTCTACGGTAAAATGAAATTATAATATGTGACGAAGTTTTGATAAGTAGTAAATAAAGAACAAACATACGTGAAATATAATGGTATAATATGTTTTAAAAATGTCTAGGTAAAAATTTCCATAAAAAAATTTCCGAGTAAAAACGTTTATATACAAAAATGTCCACATAAAAAAGTCAATTTTCATATAAAAGTAAGACAAGTTGATTATCAGATAAAAATGTTAATATAATTATAGTCAAAATAACAAAATAAATTATTAAAAATAATAATGTAATTTTTATTAATTTGTATTTAAATATTTTTTATTTTATTAGCAATATTTTTAAAAAGTTCTCAATTTATTTCTCTTAATTTTCAAAATCAGTACGCAGAGTTGTTTTGTTTTTGTACGTATATATAATATTTTCTATTTTTTAAGGAAAAAAATTATTATTGGTATGTGCATGATGTGAACACAAGAACATTACATACAACATACAATGTCTTAATGCATAAATATATTTTCATCTGTCCTTGATGGTACTTGGACAATTTTGTATAAGGTTATTTTTACTTGAAACTTTTTTTGTGAAATTTTTTACCGACCTCCACTTTGAAGAGTACGTGCTATGTGATAAAATACATGGCACGGTGCTTAATAATATTTGTTTACAATGGAATTCCGGAAAAGTACACGGTACTGGAAGGTGTGGTATCAGAAATCTCGTACGCGAATTCGTATTTTATTGCTCTATGTTCGGAGGATAAATATAAATAGAGGAAAAATATCCCATAATGCAAAAAAGTAGGTACGCTGTCCGCGAGGATTACGTATGCGGCCATTCCACGCAGCCAGTATACAGTGTGTTCGTAGTGTATGAAAGACCTCATTTCGTAGCCGAAATTACAAGAGTATAGTCATTCAGAGAAGAAAGAGGGCGCAAAAATTATTAAATATCGCAACTATAACCAATATGACTTAAACGTGATATGCAGTAAAATTTTTCTTCATACATCTATAACGAGATATTGGTTGTTTTATTACTCACGTTTTCCCGCCCTTTCCCTCGCATTCAGGACCATGGATTTTGGATGGCCAAACTTTTTTGACATACTGATCGCAAACTCGCATACATGGTGTACCGTATCGTTTTTTTTGTTATTGTTTTTTCCCCGTCAATAACGACCGACCAACTTTTAAGCATGGCATAGGCTTCTATTATACACGTTATTCATTATGAGTTTAATTTTTTTATATTCTTCATTTAGAATATGTACACAGAAAAATTGCCTTCCATCATTATTGTTGATATTATAAAAATTGCTACTATCTACAAAAACGAAATGTAAATAACGAAACAAAATTATCGAAAAATAATCCAAAATTTTGAGTTTTCGAACACCAATACATTTCCAGAATTTCCAGTTGTTTAATATCTTTATTTTTTCATTTTTATATTACATAAACATTTTATTAAGGAAAAAATATTAATTTTTTTTCTGTGTTAGTTTTATAAGTAATAACAACATAAATACTTAATATATTATTGTTTATTAGTTAATCGTTTCAAAAGATGTTATTCTCTGAAAACACAAACGAATAACACCAAATCCATAATAAAATAATATTATGTTATTATATTTATACTATGGATACTTTATTACTCACTGCTTGTTTTGTTTTGTTGAAGAAATATTGCTTTTATATATATATATATACATATATAATATGATACACAATTTGATTGTTTTACTTGTGTTTTACAATTTTTTTATGTACAGATTTAATATTTTTAACGGAAAAACATGATGATCCGTTTTATACGTGTATGGTCTGCCATACAAATTCAAAAATTGCGCGTTAGCACACGTATGGAATACTACATTTAGTAACACGTCATGCAGCTCATATCGAAAGAGTTTCATTTTAACGTTGTAGAATCCGTGGCCAAAGAGAAGGAACAAAACAAAAAAATAAAAACCACACATCGTTGACATTGTCTTAAAATAGTACCTTATATATTAAAAATACCGAAACGACAGAGTAACAGACGAGAAAAAATGTATTACGTCGAAATATAGTGTAAAATTTATTTTTAGGCTAAAGTTAACGACGATTGCAGTTGGTTACGAAATAAAAATGTGTTTTTATGTGTACACGTATAAAAAATACATAGATGGAAAAAATATAGAAACCCGTTGAAAAAGTATCGTGACTATGAGACCGCTTTTTTACAAGATGTGAAATTAATTGGATAAGGCAGCAGGTGTATGTACTAGAAAACGATCAAGCGTGTAGGTGGTCCGTTCAGTCGAAACAATGTACTATAATAATTTCAGTAATCGCGGAATTCTTGTGGCTTTCCTCCTACGATTCTCTTTTGCCGTGTTTAGTAGCATAAATGTGGACATAACATTATTATTAATCCATTCAAGTATTACGGTTTCGTGTACTGAGTTCCTAGGTATTTAAAGTTTGTATCGTTCTCCATACAATGCGCATTGAAGCCGTGAAAATGTTGATTTATCAAATTCCCAAGGCAACGTTATGTTATAGTGTAATATGTAACCATATGCGAATTTAATAAAAACAGTGTACCCTGCAATGGTATTTTACTTGGTACGATATTTGTTTCGTTTCCGAATTTATATTTTTTGTTGGTTACGCTGAATGATTGTGATCGAATATTGTTTATAAAGGCGAAAAACATTTATAAAAGTATGTACAATGAAAAAACAATATAAAACGCTCTTGTATTAAAGTACAATGGTTAGGTATACAAAACCACAAACTTATACCATCTGAGTGGTCAATCTATTTTTGAATAATTTTTTCGATGAATATTTATTAATAATTATTATTTATTTACTTGGTGATACCGACTTGATGTTAAGGACGTATATGAAGCCCAATGCGATCTACAACAAAAACGACACCACCGCCATAGGACCATATTGGAGAATTCCAGTCACTAGTTCTTCGGCGGCCAGATGTCAGCGATCCTTTGTGCGATAATTGAAACTGACAAAATGTAATTTAATCATACCATCTGGGAACTCTTGACGTTTTTTGCGAGTTTGATCTATATATAAGTAGTCGTTTACACAACTTATCACGAACAGGGACAACGTTAAACAAAATTGATATGTAGTTGTTACCAAAATCTACAGTCTGTCAATTCAAAATGTACAGATTAAAAAAAAAAACTAATTTATATCTTCGTATAATACAGCGGTTCCCAAACTGTGAGGCGCGCCTCCCTTGGGAGGCGCAAGCTTTAGGCAGGGGAGGCGCGAGCCGCGTGGTAAATATTGATATTTTTGAATCAACAATAATTTTGTTGAAATGTCATAACTATTCCAAACAAATATTTCATACTGATGAAAAAAAATAATAATAAACCAAATTACTCTATAGAATTGCTTATCTATGTATTATAAAATCAATAGTATTACTTAAAGTCGCGTTATATTCGTACAATAATATACTTGATTCGGTGATTTCCATAAATGTCGTTACAGCATTATCGCATTATCGATAACCGAATATTATTGCGTCTACTCTACCTAATAGTGTAGAATTGTAATGAGTAATGACCAATATTAATATATTTGCACGGCAATAGCAGCAGTAGTCGTCGTGAATGAACCGTACGTAAGGTGTATTCGTCATTTTCGAATTGCGCATTATCAACTCGTGTTTTATATCTTTTCTGGAAAAATGGAAAAATTTCTTAATATTAAGAGTACAACCAAGCGTTTAAATGAAGACAACAATAAAGAAGAAAATAAATGTAAGTTCAGAAAATACGATGATAGTTATTTAGACTTTGGTTTTACTTACATTAAAATAGACAACGAAGAACGTCCGAAATGTGTTATTTATTTAAAAGTATTAGCTGCCGATAGTATGATTCCAAATAAATTAAAGCGTCATTTTGAAACTAAAAATGGATCGTTAATTAATAAAAAACGTGATTATTTTGTAAGGCAACGTGAACAATTAGAAAAACAATCAACCAGTTTTATTAAACAGACAAGTGTTCCAACCAAAGCACTTTTAGCTTCTTATAAGGTAGCATTTCGTGTTGCTCAGAGTAAAAAACCTCATACAATTGCTGAAGAACTCATTTTACCATCAGCAATTGATATGGTTTCTACTATGATCGGGGAATCTGCTGCAAACCAACTTAAAAATATTCCCTTGTCTAATAATACAATAAGTCGGCGAATTCATGATATTTCTGAAAATATAAATGAACAGCTTATTAGTAAATTAAAAAACAAAAATTTTGCAATTCAACTTGATGAAGCTACCGATAGTAATAAAAACGCACACTTGATATGTTATATTCGTTTTATGGACAAAACAAATATTATAGAAGAGTTATTATTTTGTAAACCAATTTTCGTAGACACTAAGGCTCAAACCTTATTTGATATCACTAATGACTTTATGAATTGTAATAATATTAATTGGGAAAACTCTTTGGATGTATGTACAGATGGGGCTCGAGCTATGGCTGGTCATTATGATGGACTTCAGGCTTAAATACGAAAAAAAGCTCCAGAAATGATATGGACTCATTGTATAATTCATCGAGAATCTTTAGCATCACAAAATATGTGTCCATCGTTAAATACCGTACTTCAAACAGTTATAAAAATAGTAAACTACATAAAAACAAGGCCTGATAAAGCAAGGTTCTTTAAAAAAATATGTGAAGAAATGGGAGCAAAGCATACTGCGTTACTGTTTTATTGTAATTCTAGATGGCTATCAAAAGGAAACGTACTAATACGAGTGTTCGAACTTAGACAAGAACTTTACACTTATTTGAGTGAAGAAGGTCATAATGATTTTAACAAGTTTATTGATAGTGATTTTGTAATTAAATTAGCGTATTTATGTGATATTTTTGAAAAACTTAATATACTCAACACATCTTTACAAGGTAAAGAAACTAATATTCTGCAATTATATGATAAAGTGGTTGCTTTTATTAAAAAAATCGAGTTATGGCAAAGGAAACTAACCGAAGAAAACGGTAAAACCATGTGTTTTTCATTTTTAAAAAGTTTTCTTGAAGATAATGATCTTGAATTACCAATGAGCTCACTAAACATAATTTCTGATCATCTGATGACTCTTAAAAATCATTTCGAGAAATATTTTCCGGAAGACATCATACAATACAATTGGATTAAAGATCCGTTTAGTGAAAACCCATTACTAAATTTCACAACTACTGAAGAAGAACAATTAATCGATATTTCATCTGATTCTTCGTTACGAATGAAATTTTCTTCATTTTCACTTTTAGAATTTTGGAGCAGCATTAAAGATGAATATTCTGAAATATCCAACAAAGCTTTGCGTGTACTACTACCATTTGCGACATCGTATTTATGCGAAGTAGGCTTTTCTGCAGTTGCTGTATTGAAATCAAAATATCGATCAAAACTTAATATTGAAAAAGAAATACGTGTGGCTGTCACAACATTGCTACCTAATTTTGAAGAATTATTAAACAGAAAACAAGCACATTGTTCGCATTAAGTTTAAATATTAATACGCATTGTATTTTGTAATACTTTAAATTGAAGTTTAGTAATATTTACTGTTAACTTATATTTTCATAAAAATAAAAGTGTTTGTATATTTAAATACTATAAATTTGTAATTTAATTTTTTATGGGAGGCGCAATTATTTTTTTAATTTTTAGGGTGGCGTGAACTTAAAAAGTTTGGGAACCGCTGGTATAATAGGTACCTATCATATGAAATATAGCTAAAGAAATCTGAGGAATTCCAAGTTTAGGGTGTCTCAATAAGAAGGCAGGATTTAAATCTGCTAAAAATTAATTGTATTTCTTTTAAAAAAAACATAACAAATATATCATACCTTTCTGGAGAAGTTAAGGTTTAACAGTGAAAAACAACATCAGGGATATGACGCTCCTTACAAGCACTTCAGGCGATTATTATTTCCATAAAATTAACATTATTCGATCACACATTGTCCCATCAAGTTCGTTGAGGTTACGACGAATTTTTTGCTTGAGTTCCAAGATATTTCGATCGTTGTTCTGGTAAACTCGTGACTTAGTGTATTCTCATAAGAGAAAATTACACGGCATCAAATTATAAGATCGAAGTGGGTAGCTTTGATCACCACGCAACGAAATTAGTCTATCCAGGAACTTTTCACGCAGCAGTTTGATTACTCCCCTTGAAGTGTAACAAGTTGAAACCGAATATTTTTTTGTTAATTTGGTCCAAATAAGGCCAAAGAAAATTACCGAACTCAGTAGATATTCTTGTATGGTTACAATAAGTCAGGGCACAACTTGTTACACTTTATGAGAAACAATCCCTCTGCTGCGTGAGAAGTTCCAAAATAGACTAATCTCGTTACGTGGCCAAATCCACCCATCTCAATTGTTGACTTGATACTAACAAACACTTTTTCTACACTTATTAGTTTAGTAAAATTTTCTTAAAAATACTCTAATACTAAACAAAAACAAACAAAAATAATAGATTTTCTACTTTAATAGAAAATAATGTATACTTACCCAAATGACGATTACAAATAATATATACATATAATAAATACATATTTCCCCCATAATTAAACATTTTTATTCCAAATGTTATTTATGTTATAAATTTCCTCGGTAACTCGAAGTTTTGATATGTCAAATTTTTTTTTGTCCCTTATGACTTCGAAATACCGAGGTTAGTTTCCTATATTAATTATGATACATTTAAATATTAAATTGATAATATACATATATATATGTGTGTGTTAGAAATTATATGCTAAAACACGATGAATAACTAGATTAAATATTTTAAATTGTTAACAAATGGTTAATATCAAAATTGTACAAAATCACAATATTATAAATTATTATAGGGTATATAATACACCCATATAATAGGATAATGTTAGCGTAAAAGGGAAAAATATAACAAAATAATAAAAGAAAAACTATGTGTAGTCAGAACTATTATTATCAAGCCATAAAAGCTATATTATATTATGCATGGATGAACGAAAAAGGCCAGTATGGAAGGTTAAATGGCTTACTGTGCCAAAAGACGGGTACCACTACCGTAAAAGAATTCTTTTACACTTCGTAAAATATTTAATCATAGTAAATGTCATTTGATCTACACTTTTTAAGAATTTCGGAATATTTAGGGAAGGCTTTAAGCAACATTAATCCGTTTTTAAGTATTAAATGTATAATCAGGATATAATCTAATGCATGTGAGTGCTTCACTTATTTTATTGAGAACTCAAAATACTTAAAATAATACAAACTGTATACATTTGATATTGATTATAATACTGTAGTAAGGACATTGTGTTTCTAAAAAATTTAACAGAATAGGTAATTAAAGATATAAAAAGGTTAATAAAATGTTACCGTTTTGATGTGATTAAATTCCAATATCATTAAGTATTGGATTCAGTATCTGTTAAACTATAATATTTCGTTTATTGCGTTTGAGTTCGGTTCGATATAAATTATTAAGTACCAAGACGATTGATTAAAGTATATAGTAACTATTGTCATTATCATCGAAAATATGGAATCATTTGAAACAGTAAATTTGTAGACTAAACGTCTTACAATAGTATGAACATTTTTAAATACGATTTGTCAATCGTGTGCTACTGTCAGAAATATCTCAATATTATAATTGTCATATTATTCATATTGAAATATATTGAAAATAAAGACAAATCTTATCATTTTCAAAAATAATTCTTAATTACGTGCGGTATAGTCTCATTGTAACATTTAATTTATCACAGGGAAAAAAAGCATTTGCTTTTATTTTTAATTAAATTACTTCAAACCTAAAATGATTGGTATTCTAATGACTTATGACAAGAATTCCCTTTAAAAAAAAAAAAAAATAATAATAAGAAGTATAACCGTAATTTTTTGTGAAACATTCAACACACTAAAAATATAAAATAACTTATAAATAACAAGAAGTTTAAAATAAAATAGTGACATTTCGTTTATAAACCATATCACACAAAATGACTTGATTTATCCAATTACATATAAATGCTTTTAAAAATCGAACATTATTTCAAAGATTATTTTTATTTCAGAAAATACAAAAAGAATAAAAAATAATCTTACCACTGAAATTTTCAAATCAATTATATGATCTTATGATGTACTGTTTGATACTTTTGAGGTTGTTTATAAAGTACTACTAGCGAGTTTCGATAAAATAAAATAAAATATATCATTGTACAATAAATAACATTTTTGAATATAATCATAGACTTTCACAGAATTCCAAGTATAAACCTTATTACAAAATGCATTTAATTATACGGGAATCGATCGGGAGAACAAGTGTATTATTATAATGTTATGAATTGCATGAGCCAAGTTACTAAGCCATTGTTACTAGTGCGCGTATTGAAAGCTCAATTTTTACTACGAAATAGATTTTGTAGGAAATTATTGATTGTACACTTTTTGTGCTTATTTTTTATATTTTGACAAATTATTCAAATATAAAAATTAAAAACTAAACAAATGTCAACCGACAGTAGATTTTATGATATATGATTAAAAATCTTGAATAAAATTAAACAACGGGGAAGTCACCGATATACTATCTATTTTTACAAGAAACTGAGGTATTTAAAAATAAGTTAATAATTATTTAATATTTGTAAAATGTTTAATGCGAGTAATACTAATTAATAATTATTATATTAACAAATACATTAAATGTATAGTTTTAGATGTTTTATGCATAGTTCATTGTTTTTCAGTGTATATTTCAAATATTATTTTTGTGTGTTTTAAATACTACAAATCCCGAATCCTGCTTATGACACTTTGAAGAGGAATGGCAAACCGAAAAGTATTTACGCGAAATATAACGTGAAAAACGTTTCAAAACATCGTGGGGCATCGCGATACTAGTCTTGCTGGCGGGGACGAATTCCTAGACGCGGTATCTGAACCGAGGCATTGTCACTAGGGATGTCAATACCGATCGATGGTACGATGTTTAAAATATCAATATAAAAAACCAATTATCATCGATAACTATAAATATCATAATTTTTGTATTAATAAAAATCGATATTATATCGATAAAAAATTTAAAAAAACCAAAAAATAGAAAATCGAAAACCACTTGGTTGTAAATGATGGCTATAAAAGAGTACGATCCAGTATGTGCGTAACGAAAGCGATACACGCAAAACGCAATGAACGCAATACGTAAAGGTCGACGTCAAAAACAAAACGAACGCGGCTATAATAGTCGATGCGTATTTCAGAAAGAGTTTATATGTGCAACTGCGAGATAAAAAATAAAAATAAAACACCACTTGTAAATTAAGAAAAAACGCTTCGAATAACTTTTTACTTCTAGGTTTTCCATTTCAAAATATTCTACTAACAAAGCGGCGTACATTTTCTGACTATATAAAACATATGCGAATAAGTTCATAAATATTTAAACTCTATATTATATTATTGTAATAAAAATCAACTACTGCACGTATATGCGTAACGCGTATCGGAGGAAAACGTTATACTTATAGTCATATTACTATGTAAAATTTGTTTCAACATAATATTATGTGTACGTCACATTTTTCTGTTGGAAATGTTGAAAGATTGATTCGACACGTAATCGTTTCGAAGAGGATATACGATACTTAAGGCCAACACCTGTTGACCGTCATCACCAACTTGATCTACTGAGGTGAAAATTATTGGAATGAAAAACAATGTTTCATTTTCTTGCCGTTTGAAAAATCACAAACATATTACTTTTATTTTCACTACTGTAATCCAAGTGATAGTTACAATTTTATTAAAAATTAATATTTTTATAGTAAAATATCAATCGTTATTCTTATCAAAATTGAAATGTTTACTATGATATGAACAATGATTAATAAATTCTTATATTTATATTAATAATAATACTACTACTACTACTACTAGTTTTAATTATTATAACCAGGGCACCAAGACGTTTTTATAATGTTATGGGTATAACGTTATACTATTCAATAAGCGATTGATATCGATAACAGATAATATATCGGTAAACGATAAACGATGAAAAGGGATAACGTGACCAGCGGGGCGGCGCGACGCAGGTCTTATCAAAGCTGCTTCGTGACCGCACCGGTGCACGGGTAGGCAGTGTTGTGCGACGGAAAAGTTTAACACATGATTCGCACATGATTTTATTCGAGATGTTATCATCGTGTTTCGTTTGGACCCGTTGATTGTAACGTTCGTGCGTCGAATAACACTTCTACTCTGAACGGGCACTCAACGCACGTAACTGCTGCGTCGGTATATAAACTACGCGCGGACCAAAACCTGAAGGTACTGGGAACATCGCAGTACGCCGAGCACCAAAGCCGTCTTGGTGCTCAAATGCAGAGGCCCATAGGCACCTGGAGTTTAAGGGTGTTTTAAGTAAACCAAAAAAAAGCTGAGTAAAAACGTCAAAAGCTTATTTTGTACGATGATTTTTGTGTAGCCGAAAGATATGAGTTGTTCATTTAAAAAAAAAATCTTTTGACATAATGAGATCAAAAATAAAATATACATAATGCAATCACACACAATTAAGCGTTCTTTATTTATTTGACATTAACATTTTAACGTTGCTATTCATCAAAAAAAAAATTTTCTGCAACTATGAATTATTTTTATCTGTAGGCAGTCGTATCAATACGTTACAAATTAAAAGTTTCTATTATTCTATAGAATTTCTATTATTTTTATTATTCGGGATCCCAGCCAGATGGGGGTTCTGAGCACGTGCTCCGAGTGCCCATAAGGTACAAATGGAATTGCCGAGTACGTTAGCGGCGGAAAACCGAACGCGCAACGCTCTCTAGCCCGTGGACCGTCGTCGAACGAACGGACGAAACGGAAATACGATTTTCCGGGCAGTCGCGATGCCGTTACGAGTCTGGTGCCGCCATCTTCTCCGGGCCGAAACGGTGTCGGCGCGCGCGGCCGAAGCGGCAAGACCCCTGCTGACACGCGCTACGAGCGCGCCTCGCAGATGGCGCTATCCGATATACCGCGTCGGCGGTGACCGCGGACACCGGAACCGCGTTCACGGTCGGGCGGGCCCCTCGGTCTCCTCCTCTGCCTTCTGTCGTTCGGCACACGGTGTGCGCGCTGTAACCCGTTAGTAGACGATGTAGATCAGATGTGAGAGCACTGTGAACGTCGACGCCGCCGCTGCTGTTGCTACCTATATCGTGCGATCGAATTATTTTTCGTACTCCAGTAGAAAAATTGTTTTTTGTGTCCTAACGCGCGTGCCCCACGCCAATGCGTAAACTTGGGTCCGTAAACTAAACGAAAATAACGTTGTTATTTCAACCGCTTAGGATACGTGCAGTCCATATACGAACGGATATCCGATAAAGTGTCACGAACCGTCGGGTCGGTTTCTTTCGGCGCGGGCCTACGCCCCGCAACGATTTGATTATGCTCACGTCGGATTGACAACGAGTCGAATTTTTCGCGATAGATACGACGACGACGACGACACGGTGGCACGCTGAAAGTTTTGTGAGATCGGCTGCCGAAAACTCGAGTCGAAAAACACAACTCGCCCACAAACGCATCATAGGTCACACGGCTCAAACACCCTAAATACTTTATCGGCCGCCCGACGAGTAAGTTTCCAGTTTTATATTATCTTGTATGTGTGTATAAATATATACCATGTTATAATTGCGTATTGTATAAAACGTAGATAAATTACATGATATTGTTCCGATCCGAAACCATATCGACTCCCTCCCCCTCCTCCTACGACATAACCCCTGAAGGTTACGCAACAAACTTCGGTCCGTATCGATTTTAGTAACCCTACACTGCGCAGGCTTCAACTGCACTAATATATGCTGTTTTTATCGTGTACTACATGTATATATATTTATATTTACCTGCTACACCTTCCGTCAACAATCGCATATGAACATTGCATGTGCCCGATCTTGCGAACGTGTGTTATGGACTAATTTTTGATGCTTGTGTGCGCTTAGACCGCATTTGACAGTTAATTTTCGACCGGCAGTATAATTATTATTATTTTATTATAATAGGTCAGGCGTTTAAACCGTAAAAAGCCACCTAACCCTAGTTATTATTAACGTACTTTTGTACGTTTTTATAAATTTTCAACGACAAACGAACCCTTTTGTAGCACGACTTGATGGAATAATTACTATATCCTTACCATTGACTGAAGCAGCTTACATTATTTACAATATTTAAAATCTGGGAAAGTGGCTAGGTTATAGTTTTGACATCTGACCCTCCACCACCCATGGTGCATTCGAATTATGTGTAATATTCATTCATAAATAGTTAAAGTTACTTAACACTTAAAAAATAAAGCTGAGCACTTCTATATGAATACAAGTCAAACATTGCGTTTGTACGAATATTCTCGTACTTATTTTTGTGTTTATATCATAAAATATATTCATATCACATTATTGTAACAGTGATCATATTAGAATGCATATTTTATAAAAATCGATTAAATTAAATTCATGATAAAATAAGTCACATCGTCTTCGATACACTTCGTTATACAATTGAGTTTCTATCATTTAACGAAAAAAAAAAAGTTTCAAATCGTTTAATTTGGCATAGTTAAAAGTAATATTATATTCGAGTAAATTTTAATGGGAAACACGTAAAAACACTATACAAACATCGAATTATACTTATTTTATTTTTATACAAACCATGATTCAAAGCTAAATGTTTCAAACATTGATTATCATTTGTTTTCTTCTGTTTACATTTACATGATTTACAAAATGAATACCGTTATAAAAGGTACTCAATACAACTGATTATTTATGTATTAACACTCATAAGAAAAATAAGATATTGTTAAGAAATGGATACTAACAGCCTGATGTTCTAAGAATCATCGATTGTTACATAACTATTATTGCTTTAGAAAATAATTGATTGACACATTATGTTAAGCCACGTCATTTTAAAGCAGGTTTATACAAGACAAGACAGGATAAGTCACCTGTGACATCATCGTGAAAAAAATTATTTTTTTTCTTATCAATTATCAATCTTATATCAGAAATAATCGTGTAAAAACATGAATCGTATGAAAAATTATAATCAGTATTGTTTTGAACACATTAAAAAAAATTATTGAAATTTATATCAACAAAAACAAAACTTCGAATATATCATAGGTTATACGATCCCTTATTATAGTTTTACTCAGCGTAATATTATTTGTTTGTAAATTTTTAAAATCACAACATTTTTAAGTGAATACTACATTAAAATATACACATAATGGTTATGATAATTTATTAACATTTTCTGAGTTTACTGTTCATAAAAGGAAAAAAACTCGGTAACATAGTATGATGCATCACGTAGTAATAATATTAATATAACAACTAGGACAGTAAAGTGTTGTAATTACCAAGATACTATATTGGAGGACTTATCTCCTTCAAACGGTAAATTAATAGCCTCTGGGAGTAGATATGAAATAGGCAGTTTACCTAATCCATGTATTGTGTGTCCGTACGATGAAAACATTGTTATTATTACTTATTAAATTACCTTTATTCTAACTGTCAATCACCATGAAAAACCTTCAATTTCGAAGGCATTGCTGATATATCAAACGTTTTGTTAATGCTGTTTTTTTGACGTTTGTCCAAAGTCATATGTTATTGCTTGAAATTGTATAATGTAAATTTTCTGTATTATACTGTACAAATCATCCAATGTGTTAAAACAATTTTATCGAAACAACAGCAACGAAAGCATACGTTCTAATGAAGAGTGATACCAAGGAAAATTATGTAATAAAATTGATTTCTTTTTACGAACACATGTAGTGCTATACCTATAAAAAATAATACATTGTGTTACACTTTATTACCTATCAAAATACTCTATATCATATTAATATCTTTGTATTAAAATCTAAGGTATAGCTGGTATTGGCATAGTTTGAACTTCTATTAATCGAAATCGATATGGTTTTAATTAATTTTTTAACAATACAATGCTAATTGTTATAAACAGATAGCAATTTAATTGCGAAAATTACTACTGAACCTAATAATACAATTCAACGGATGAAAGCGTCAACTAGTTAGTCAGGATAAAAACGTGCGTAGTACAGTACATCATATAATATCCGTTAAAAAACTTAGCGTACATCATAGTTTTTTATGCGTATGGTTGCGGTCTTTTTTTGAATCTAAACGTAATACTACCTACATACCGATTCGGGTGAAATGTCTCACATTTAAAATATTATTTTAGAGATTAACGAACGTTTTCCATTGCATCGTTTTGTGATATAATAATGTATATAGCATAACTATCTTGAGCAATTAAATCTAGTTTTTACCGGGGTCTTGGAATGATGAAAATATATAACATAATATGGTATATTCTAACGTGTTATATTACGGGTCATGTAGAAAAACATAGTAGCAGAAAGTGAGCTGCTGTCGCAGCTGGTTTACATTTCCATTTATAATTTTGTAATGTTAAAATAAAAATGTTACAAAGCGCATCGAATGTGACATTTACCCATTGTCAAATGATGACGTATAGTAGGTTAATTGAACATTATTGAATATTTACGATTATCTGATTCCCATATTATCGTGTTCATGTAACATAATTTTGAACTATACGTATATTTCTTCGTGTGTAACCAGTGACAGGTTAACGATTGTATTGCCTAGGGGCAGATTTTTTACCGTTGTACCCATCATAAAAAAAATTTCTGCAATAGCGTTAAAATTCTTTAATTCATCAATACTTATAAACATATCGTTACGTCGATCGTTTTAATAAGTATAACTGTTAGTATTTTACATTCAGTATCATTTAATTGTATGCTCTTTCTACTCATATTAATTGAGGAAATATTAAGCCCGTTTGTTTTTCAGCCAATATGACTTGACAGTTGACGAGATTACAATTATGATATATGTGACTCGAAAAATTAAACAGACGATATAATAGTAAAAAAAAAATTACTTGGTAATGTACAAATAAATCATTTAAATAGGAATATTAAATATAGGATAACATTTAAATACCAAATTCAATAATCCGATTGTTATATATTGCAATACAACCATATTGGTATATAATTAACATAATTACTGATGTGAACATATATACAATTACTCGAAAACAATTTAATAATATAAATGAAAATAAAAAACTACGAGGGCTATAATAATAATATAATCATTTTAATCTTACGCTGAACGTTCACTCACCTGATAATTCCACGGTAAATTGATAAACTATTATTATTTGTTGTGCATATTCTTCAATGATTAAAAATTTTTCCTAAAAATTATAATACAATGGAAAGCTTTCATTTTTGGTGTTAATAAATTTCCACCCCTAATAAATATCCGCAGAAGGCTACTGAACCCTTTACCCCTACTCTCCTAATCCGGCACTGTGTGTACCCCATGCGGGAGAGTGGATTTCATTTATTTATTATTAAAAATTTCCTAGTATAATAATATAATACATGGGATCTGATTCTGGTGCAGTTTTATTAAAAAATACCTATTAATTTCTGCTGTCCGAATTTTCTTAATTAACCGTAACAATTTAATATGTGGTGTAAAATTTGGCGTGCCTAATATTTTTATCGTTATTATTGCCATTACATGTAATATAGACTGGAGGTGATAAGAGCCGCGTCTAAATGTGAGTTGTAGGTTTATGTCGTTATACTTTCTACAAGTGTCGTTAAATCGTTTTGTGCGTTTTGTCTGGATTCTAAACGAGTCATTTTATTGATTTAGAATTTCTCGTCTAATGGACGGTTATGTATAAAATGTGTACAGCAATATACAGCAATGAAATTTAAATCTTAAAAACTTTACGTTTTGTATTGATAACGAAATCGTGAACTTTTATGAACCGTTTCTACACAAAATAATATATTTGTCGCGTTTAAACGCAATCAAAATAAGAATAAAAATTAGCATATTAACACTTTAAATCGAAAAAAAAAAACCACCGCTCAAAAATATAATACAATATATTTTATACATGTAAAGTGCATGCGTGCGGCAGTCGGGTACGGTATACACAAAGGAAATAGGTTATACCGCCTAGTTAGAATGATGAAATGAGGTATAAATCACGATCTAGTAATTAGGTGCACTAGGTCATGTTTTGCACGAAATGAGAGTGTAAACATTGATTTTCGTATTTTATTTAAGCTAATCAAAATTTGTTTTACTCCACGTGCAAACATATCTATACATCTATATGTATATATGTTTGTAAACGTGTATACATATAGACAATGTCCTAAAAACAACACAATATTCGCCGGGATTTGCGCGTGTATTAATGTGTATACTACGAGCACGTCTTTTAACACGGACTATACATTATATACTGTAAATGTATATACACAGTACAATACAGAAGTGATTCTATTAAAACAATATTTTACACTGTATGCGAATTATGCCACGTGGATTTCGTAAACATTTTAATTGAACAAACACTTACTCCCAGGGATAAATAATGATCAACAATGAAGTGAAAGTTTAATTACCAAAAATAAAGACATGTTGTAAAATTTATTAATTATCTTGTGGTGGTGGATTGCGCAAAACGTTCAAGTGGTCCACCCGCAGACCATAATAATGGTCCGGATGGTTGACGGCCGGCAGCCCGTCAGATATATGTTTTATAATATTTTGCCCTCTACAAAATTATAACAATAACTATGTTCACGGGCTGTCATACACAGTAAGCTAAGATCTAAACTTTCAACTTTTCTTACCTCACATTACATATTAAATAAACATTTACAGACATGCAGATGAAGATAAATTAAAAAGTGACTTTTTTTTTTAATAAAGTTTAAACCAATTTTGGCCTATTCCATTAAATAATACGTTTTAAACAAAACCATATGTTTTTATTTCTTAAATATTTATTATATACCAATCTATCTAATTTATTTATTTAAAATGTAAATTTCAATTATGTCTCAATGAATAAAAAGTATTTATCACATACTTTCAAATTTTGTATAGTACATGCTTTACTTTTTTACTACATAAGTATAGTAGTTAGAGTTAAGCTGGATGCTATAAAAAAAAAAAAATTAAAAAAAATGTATGGTAGTTCACACATTTTTAGGTCTTACAGTATACAGTTGTTGTTGTTGGCCATAGTGACGTCTTCTTTATGATATTCTCCGGATAATAATATAATATATTGTCCGAAATCTATAACTAAAAAATAAAAAAAATATAAATAAAATTATACATGAAAAGTATTTCATATTATATACTACCATCAGACCGTCACTTGAATCGTTTTATTGCTGTTGCAATGCGATGTTGATGATGGTTTTCCTTCGTGTTTTTTTCCTCCGATCTTTGCTCGCAGCTACATTATTACATATATACATAGAGACACTATTATCGATTCGTGTGGAAAGACAGATACCGCGGTAATTCTGCAGTAGCCTCTTTATAACATTTGTATGTATTTTTATATGTATTCGTCTACTTGTTACAACAGTCTTCGCGTTTCATGGTGTGTTGCCATTGAACGAAAATTGCACACAAATTACGTCCCTATAATTCGGCCGCCGACGTTTTCGTTGCAAATTTAACACCTCCGTGACGAACTGCAAATGTGTAGATGCAGTGCGACAACATTTTCCTTGCACTCACACTGATACACTAATGTCTGGCGAGAATGTATTTATTATATTTTTCAGTTGCAGACATGCCACTGGTAAAAAAAATGGTTCTAACCTTTAATTACATTCGGTGCATTAAAATTGTGATTATAAAGTAAACGTTCGAGAGACAATCAGCTGTGCTCGTATATGTGCGTTATGGTTTTGGTTATACCCAAATATACACTCCATATTTGTGTATCGCGTGTCTTCACGCCCCGGTCATTTTCCTTACCGGTTTTTTTTTTATTATAACTACTTTACGCGCAGATGCACGTCTCGAGGTCATCGAGGATAACGTCCCCCACAAAAATGCAAGATGGTGTTTTTTTTCATACCCACCGGATTTATATTTAGTTTGCACGTTCACATCCACACAGCAATCCACCTACAATCGTGGACAAATGCATATCCTATATTATAATGCATTGTAAAGATAAACTACAATAAGCACGGTTGTTAAGTTATGTACAATATTCCAAAAGTATGAAATATATCGTGTAACAATCAAAGGCCTTTTCTGTGTACTCTGCTGTTACAGTGAAACTGAAGAGATTTTTTAGTGAAATGTCTAGTAATATGAAAGAAATTATTTTCTGCTGTACGTCATGATTATGTGAGAACGTAGAATGTATTTAAACATTTTGCGTGTGATATGTGGATTTATTAACAAATGATTTTATGACCGTATTATTATTATTATTTTTTTTTTTTTGAGAATTTTATGAATTTCTCTTGGTGTATTAATTATTTACACGATAATTCTAAACTTTCCGGTTTTAAAATACTTTTTAGTGTTCAACTTTTGAGGAGACGAGTTTTTCAACTTTTCGTTGGGGTACGATGTTGTCGATTTAATTTTCACCAAGGTCGTAATTTAGCGGTATCTTCTTGTATCGATTACGTTATTAGTGATGTTCTTTTATTATTATTATTATTTTTTTTTTCTTGGAATGTTGACAAAATCCATGGCGACAATCGATGTCCACTTGAGAACGGGAAAATAGAGGTAGGTAGGTAGGTTCGAAATACGTAAAATTGTATAACCGCTTCCGGCGCTGGGACATCGTGTCGTCGTTATACGGCGGTATTCACGAGGTGGAATCGCGTAGTGCATCAATTCGCTTAGATCCAGTCCACCGCAGTGGCAAGTTTCTCTGCGCGCGCGCCACCGCCTCGGTGACTTTCCATTATTCTTTATATATTTATACAATATTATTATTATTATTACTATTTATTTACTAGAAAAACAACAAAATAATGTACTGTTATAATATCTGTTATGCCTGACGAGAACGACTGTGTAGTTGCTGCTGCTGCTGTACACCTGGTCCGGAGACCGGTTTACACGATATCACGCGCACGCGTCGATAGAAAACAATATAATATATACGTGCTTGTCCCGTACATAATATATATTATAAATGTACCGTACAGATATGTGCATAATGGGATTATTATATTCCAGGTAAACGGTATCCCAGTCCGGTACACGTTCGCGGTCGTGTCTCCAAGTTATGAAACGTTGAAAAGCACATTATCCCGACGATGACGATTCGATTTTAACGCACGTTGCTGCGGTGAAAATAATACAGTATCCGTTGTACGAACACCATATCGCGTATTAGGTATTGTTGTGTTTTGCATCGGTTGAAAGTTATAGCCTTCAATCACGTGACAACAAGTTTGAACACACTTGAGGTATGCTATAAAATTATTTATAAAAAAAAAGTCGATCAAAACAAAGATATTTAAGAGTTAGTTTACATGTACGCAATATTTTACGCGTTATAACATTAATGTGTTCATACAAATACACTCGAGGCTAAACTACGACAAACTTACGATACGTGTTGGATAAAGAATAAACTACTGCTCGTACTATTTTTAGAAACTTTTTAGTTTCACACGCGATTTTAAACCGATAATTATCGACTGCTAGTGCATTCACGACTGACGTTTATTATATTATATAATAATGTAAATGCATTACTAACTGTAAAATCGAACTGTCGAATGTTTCACCTTTACCTTTAATTCGTTGACCATGAATACGTTTTTATTTTTTAACACACTAATTCACAATGTAGGTTTTCGGAAAGTTTTATAGTATAATATTATCTATTCACACATAATATATATTGCTACACCAAAAGTTATCCTCTAAACTAGTGGTTCCGATTTTTTTTCTTCGGTATTCTTAACCTAAATATTTCTTTAAATTGTACCCCTCATACCTTTTAAACTTTTTTCACAAAACTACCCTGAAGATGTTAAAAAAAAAAAAATAATAAAATATAATGTAATATATATATATATATTTATATTTTGTAATAAGACGCAAAAAAATAAACCAATTATTTTACTTGAATATAAAAAATTGTAATATAAAAATATAGTGAGTTTTTTGATCTTATTTTAAGTTACATAGTTTTTTAAATCAAGTTTAAATGATGCTTGAAATAATCTTTAATCCGGAGCTGCGTTATGTTTATTTCTATTCTTATTATTTTATACACATGATATTTTATAATCCATCAGGCGCATAGAAAAGCGAGCGTTTTACTTGTATAGTCCCACCTCCCCGAAATTCAGAAAAATTATTAATATATTTTTATAAAGCAAAAATGGTTTATATAATTATATAAGTATGAAAATATACAACCTAAACCCCAAAAATAAGTTTTTTATACATGCGCCTGTAGTCTTCATTGTATACTCCATTTCTATAAGATAAATTAATGGTTAAGTTTTAATTTTTAATTATTTATTTACTGCATATTTCTGAAATGAATCGTTTTAAATTAAACAAATTCAATATTTTCCGCCACTTCCCAATTTTTTTTCGCGTACCCCAGATTGGGAATCGCAACTCTAAATAATGCATACACATCGTAAAGTAAAGGCGAAAATTGGATAGTAAATTTATTAAAATAATCCTAGTAGATATTATGTAATAATATGTAAACGATACATAGGTTAAGAAACTTTCAAATTAACAAAAAGAAAATACAAATTAATGTAAACGATATGTAGATTAAGAAACTTTCAAATTAACAAAAAGAAAATACTAATTAAAAATTCAAATTTAGACGCGATTTACATATATTATAATATACTTAGTAATATTATAATGACATTCGGTAACCTTTGTTTTATTAAAGTATATACATATAAATTTACACTGGTATATCATTAACCAGATTGGACGTGTATGCTATCCACATGATACGAATAGGCGATCATTACGACAGCACAACACGCCATTAATATGTGCGATTGGTATAATGCATATGAAATGTATTCGATTGGCGTCGTACAAACAGCAAGCTGTAAATAAATCATGAAATATGATATAATTTTAAAACCAAATAACGGAACGAAAAGCAATATAAATAACCTTGGCATTGATAAAGACGAATAATAAGCCTATAGATATATACGCGTACCATTGCATTACATTTTAGTAAAGTAATTGTCCAAAAATATTATTGTTTCATTGAGATTTCTGTATTCCGTGATGGTAAAAGTATTATTAAATATAGTTGAATATGCGAGCGTAAGTATGATATTGCTGAAAATTATACATTCAAATTCGGTCTAGATGTATTGGATTCTTTTCGTGTGCATAATTGTAGAAATTGGAAAAAATTCTCATAAATTATCTTCACTTAACGTAGACATCAATGTTATTGTTTATTATACTTTCCAAATTATGAATGCGTTTTAATACGTTTTAACCCGGGCTGTATTAAGAATTACTTCTAGTGGGGGGAGGGGGCGACTCAATTTTTTTCTTTAATTCAGGCTCAAAATTTACAAGTAAAATTTTTGGTAATATTTAAATCAGGTGAATCCTTAATATTTGAGGTTTATTTTTTTTTAATCTAATGCTGGATCGACTTAGAATCGACTTTTGTGTAGTTATTTTTTAACATCTGTCTGTGTTTGGAAAGTTACTCTTGTGTTTTATTTGATTTTTCACTAAGTATGGCCCCGACAAAAAACCCAATTCATTATTCACAGCAACGCGTAATTTGATTTCGTTATAAAATGATCCACATTAAAAAAAAATTGAAATATGTATCACACATATAATCGATTCCTTAAATACGGATTCAGGAAGGAGATATCACCCCTTCGCCATCCCCCTAAAATACGCCCATGGATTCAAAGTTCAAATCCGTAACCATAAATTAACCGGTATGACGTGTAGTCTTGAGTACAGTTGATATAAGTACAGATACGCTAATAGTAAACACAATACAAATAACACTAATATATTATACACACATCGGGAACATTTTAGCAATCGAGTGCAGTGTGTCAGTGTGTTGTTATTATGCTCGTAACGAGATCGGTCAAAAAACCGATTGCGCACCGACAGTGATATTGTTATACCGGTACACGTTAAATTGTAATTGTATTATAATACAAAACTTGTTATACCCATTTCATTATTCGTTCCCGTGTTTTGATATTCTTAACAGAAGTTTTACAATGATTATTGTTATTATTATATTATTCATTTTTATTTTTATTTTTATTTTTTTTTAAGAAATTTTTTCAAGTGTAAATTTTTTAAGTTTCTGAATAAATAAATTATAATACTCATATGTTAAACAAAGTGAAAACCCAATGAACATCTGTACAACGAAAAATATCAGTATTCGTTAAACGATGCGTCCGAATTGCATGTCACGTCTTAGAGGTGTATGTCCGAATTATATGCCGGAAAGTCATGCGTTTGAGCGAATTTTTAAAAATTGCAATGTATTTGGGCAATTTAGCATTTAGCTTATTATTATAAATTTTTAAAATTTAATTTTGTATAAGTATGTATACGTACGTATGTATAGACATCTAATGATGTCCAATACCAGATAACAATATTATGTCGATAAGATAGAGTATTGACTATAGAAATAGAGTAGTATATACGATTAACTTTAAAATTATATGATATAATTTCTGTAATATTACCTATTATAGATAAGAAAGGTAGAACTTATGTCAGAATGAGAGGGAAAATTGATTGATAAAATACAGCATCCCAGGATATTAAAAATAAGTAATAAAAAAAATTGCTAAAATCGAACCGGCATGCAATTCGGACATACATCTTTGAGACGTGGCATGCGATTCGGACAGAACCCTCTAAGACCTAGCATGCAATTCGGACATTTTTTTTTTTTTTGCATGCAATTTGGATGCATCCCGTGAAACAATTCGAAATATTCGAAATGTTGAACACAATCATAACCACCATTTTGTCAATAAAACATTTTTTTTTTTTAGTGAGGACATATAATAGTACCAAATATGATGCATGATATATTCAATATATATATAAGTTAAACCCCTGTTGAAATATATTTTATAAAAATATTACCTACACAATGATATTTTCATTTTAAATCGATCAGGTATCACGTATTTTTCACAATATACAAACCAATATAACCAATTTTTTTTTTTTATTTATTAAGTAAATTAACAATCTATGCTATTGCACAATAAGATAATGTAATGCAATTATTTATAAACCCATGAAAAATATCAGAGGCGGGAAATCATCCTGTGGTAGAAATAAATCCAGTGATAGCTTATAAATGCAAATATGTACACTTAGCATTGTTGTTTTTAAAGAAAATTTCGACATCATTAACGGTTTAATCGACGGATCAGGTTATCAAAAAGAAGTTAGAGGGTTTGAATGGGAATGGAGTTTTCAATGGAGATTTAGATAATGTTTTTTTTTTTTTTTTGCTAATTGGCTTACAATTTCTGTATTGAGGTTTTTGTGTAGGGAATTCTTTAAAAAATACCAAGACACTAAAGTAACGACATGAAGATAAATATATTTAAATTCCTGAATAATACGATTTTTAGAAAGCACAGTACCTCCTCAAATTTTAATTCTGTAAGTCCAAATAGGTCTTAGTCCCTTCTTCTTATTGTTTCTTTTGTTTTAATAAGCATTTTAGAGTTTTTTTGGGACAGAACAGGTGAAGATAATTATTAGGTATTTTACGCTTGCCCTTTAAGTGAAGGCCCTATGTCAGCCTTCTGTCAAGAACTATTCCTACTTAATTTACTTAATATTATGTTGGAATAGAATAACCCTAAAAGTCGAAAGTTGGAGTATTTCTTTTTTTTTTTTTTAACGTAAATGGAACAGTGACCAATTTTTTTGTATTTTTTTCACTTTTCATTTAGATGCCCAAAGATCGATTTAATTTAGGTAATTTTGTAGTGTATCAGCAACTGCGATTGGATCATTGTCAGATACTAGTGTTGCCGTGTCGTCTGCGTATATTGCTAACAAAGTAAAATTTGAATTAGGAATGTCAGAAGTGAAAATATTAAATAATTCGAGGGAGATATCGCTTCTCTGTGGTACACCAACAGTTATAGGGTAGTAGAAATAAAGTGAGTTACCATGTCGAACTTGAAAAGTACGATTTTCTAAAAACGAATAAATTATTAAGAAATAAGGTGCAGGTTATTTTAATTATTTTAATTTGATGTCAAACTTGATCGCTTCTACCACATCCAAAAATACACCAGGCTATTATTATTTTTTTTTTAAATGAAGTGGCTTAACGATCATAAGCTATACATGTGTTAAATAGTAGAGTGATTTAATCTAAATGCGAATTATGTATTTGGAATTATTGAGTTGGAATTTGAAATTAATTTAATTATTAAAAAAAGAATTTTCTCGAAAAGTATAGCAATTAAAGGAAGAAAACGGATGGGTCTGTAGAAAGTCGTCTAATGTTTGGATTTATTTGGCTTGTGATTTAAAATTATTATAGACAACTTCCAAATAAGGGGATAGTAACTAATTCATAGCATGGAATTGAAAATATGAGTTATAAGTATTATAATTTTATCTGGGAGGTGTTTTAACATCTTATAAAAATCAGGTTGTAGCCTATAATAAATCAAATGATTTAATTTCGATATGATGTTTTTTATTTCACTTGGGATTACGTGGTTTGCAAGTATTGGTACAAGGAGAGAACTATCAAGAAAGATTTTTATAACTTTAGTGTGCTCAGAAGTATGAATAATATCGTCGTGGGATGACAATATTTGAGCCGAATATTCACCAAAAAAGTTAGTTTTCTAAAGATCAAATATAGCTAAATTACCATTGGGTTTGATTAAAGGTAGGACTTGAACTTTAATTCCTATTAATAATTGATTTAATTTGATTTAATTTAATTAAAAACATATTTAAAAATGTATGGAAAAGTTTAAAATGAGATTAATACAGTATTTATTACGCATTATTTACTTTTATCATGGCGGACACCGCAGTAATTCAACAACAGTTTTCAATTATTTACGTAATACTATGGTATCATAATTTTTACAATGCATAGATGGTAACCCGAAAGTAGTTTTAGTTGGCGAACGATTACAATAGACACAATATATAACATTGAATATGGTAATTTTACGAGACTTAATTTTTAAGATAGGATAAGTTTTCTCGAAAATAACGGTGGAAATAAAAAAAAAAAAAATTACTCGAAACCAAAAACGCATTATTGGTTTTTCCTTTATATCGTTTCAACCATACAATTTCAAGGGATTGAAAAACATACATGATTATATTTTAAAATAAACAATTATAATAAATAACACACATTGTTTGTTTGCTAATTTCTGATAACGTCGTAGTAACAATTAATCATTTAAAAGCTAAATAAAGTATATCCGTTATCTGATAAGGTCAATGATTTTTTATTCACAAGACGTTAGGCATACATGATATTGTAATACGACGCGTATTGAAGTCGATTAAGAACAAAACCCATTAGTCTAATTTAAATAATCGATGCTTCGCTACTACCGTAAAAACAATTTTAAAACATTTACGGATTTGTAATGATTAGTACTATTAATCGGCGTAACACGGTCGACTACTGTTTTTTAATTTTTTTTCTCTAATATCGGGTTATGCATCACAAATGAATAGTTTGCTAACCGCAATCGATGATGTCACATCGAAATAAAATCTAACGGCGATTTGAAAGACGATAAACAACTATCATGCACATACCGTATTATTCTTTGACAATTATAGCTTGGTTAATATGCGATTTTTCACAGTGTTTTCCGCAGTACATCGTAGCGCATTGTTCATTTTTTTATTTTTATTTGGAATATGCATTAACGTACGATGGACAGAATATTGTACAACATATTTTATAGAAGAGAAAATAATAGGTTCCGTAATAATTACATGCACACGTATTATATTTTATATTTTATATATGTATACAGTATATCCTCGTTTTGTATATTTCTGTGTGTATTAATTATACATTTATAAATATTACAGCCGACCGTTTGTGTAAAACATTTTAAATCAAAATACTACATAAGTACATGCGTATACACAAGTTTATATATATTCACATATACACAGCTGGTAGTGAAATTACAATTATTGGTTCAAAATGTTTACTGCACATTTATTGTAATATGATATAAACGCACGTGTTGATTTAAAACGTCCTGTTTGATAGCTTTTTAATAATATATGCGATATAGTTCGATGCCTACACGCGGTGAAAACCTATAGGCTACCGCGACCGGAACGACACCAAAACAACATACGCAATGTAATCGATGCGATTCTGGTGTGCACGCAAAGTTAAATACGTATAAGTAGCGATCGTACATAATTATTCAAATATCGGGTTCCGTTGTTTGTGACGAATTATGCGCGTATAGAAAGCGAAACTGGTGCTGATGAAGCTGGAAATCTTATAATTCGTGTCGTCGAAAAAAAAATATACAATAATATAATATAATATAGATAATAATAATAATAATAATAATAATAATAATAATGTGTTTGTATATTATATATAATGTATTATTACATTCCTTGTCGTTTAATTTTTTTTCGCGAATACTAGTTACAGGGACGAAACGATTTGAACCTTTGATAAAAATGAATTATTATTGATTGTCCATGGCTAGTGAATTTTCAACAAGGCACACATATCGTAGTGACGTTGTCTATTAAAAAGTATTCGGGATTCGATACTCCTTCCTTGTAATAAAGCACCATGTTCTACACAATGTCGTGATGTAACAATATTTAGTATAATGTGGATAAAGTTTCGATTTCTCATTACTTCTCCGTTTTGTGGTTAGAGTGCAGTATAATGTAATGTAATGTTGATGAAATACAGTGCGTATTAAACGTTTCCGATATCTAAAACCTTATGTTCGATCTGTTAATCTAGTAAACGTACCTACCTACTCATAATAATTACTATATTCGAAATCATTTATTAAAAGCAAAAATACCGACAATAATTTACAAAAGAAGATTGGTAAGAATGTAAATTAATGAAAATGATAATCAAGACGAAATGCATTTCAGTTGGATGTTTTTGAAAGTTTTCAAACTCAATCCAATTGTTTTTCCAATCAGTTTAATTTTGACATGGTAGTGTTTTACGTTGAATACCAAAGTCATATGTTAAAATAAGTTATCGTAGTATTAATTAATTTGGATTTTTTTTTCAAGTGGGGTGCTAACATATCATCAATTTTTGATTGATTTGAATCCGTTGTATTCAATAACTTTAGTAGTTACAACCTTATTTAAATAACGCACAAATATCTTAAATTCTAGAAACAATGATTAATTTTATAAATAATAATATTCAACGGCAATATAATAATATACTATTAAGTAAATTAATAACTATTCAGAGAAAATCGTACAAAATCGCTGCAAAATAAATTATGCGCTTGACGTGTAACAGACAGTCGTTAAAACACACAACATCCAAAACTGTTTCCGTAAATCTGCATAAGTGTAGGTGGTATACTTTAAGAAGTGATTCCGGAAGAACCGAAATAAAATTAACCTGCAGTACAGTAAGAAGTAGTAAAATTCGATTACACTTTTGCAAAGCATCCCAAGTAAAACTTTGACGTTGGGCGGTATACATATTATAATGTATACCATACCGTATTACGTTATAATAAATACATTTTATACCGTGTACAGAAGGCTTTTATGTTGCATTTTTTCAATTTATTTATCTTATTGAATTATGTATATCGTCCATCGTACATGGAAGTCAGCGCAGCACCGACGGAAGGTGTACCCGCCCAGGGCCTCTCCATTTTAAGTGCCCCGTGCTCGAGCCCACGCCTTTTATGGGTTTTAATGATTTATTAGTCTATAATTTTGTTTTCCAAATTGAATAATTAGTACCCCCTTTCGTTTAAAAATGTCAATGTTGGAAAATAACGTAATGGAAAATAATGCGTTACTGTAATGCCGTTACTTTTATGCTAATAAGTTACGTAATTTCATAAGAATTTTTACTTTGTAACGAAAATGCATTGTACATTTTTTATACAAGTAATTTCTTTGATATAAAACGTCAGTGACGTAACTAGGGGTAAGGTTTGAGGGTTTTAACTTCCTCCCCCCCTCCGAAATTTGTATGAGGTTTTTACAAATTCTATGTAGGAAAAAAATTGTTTATCTTGAACACGCGAAACGGCTGATTGATATGAAATATGAATATTATTCGTATTATAATTGATAGCTATAATAACATAATAATATGGAACGTTTTGTAACGTTCTGTTCAACTTTAAGACATCAATAACCTTGCTACTACGATTTCTTGATAGTCGATTGTATAAGACTTTTTTTGTGGTATCATTTAAGCACTTTAATTTATAATTTAAATAT